TGTTCTCCATGTCTGTGAGTTTGTTTGTTCATTTGTTGCTTTCTGTTTTCTGTCCCACATTTGAGGGAAATCATATGGTTCTTGTCCTTTTTCAGCTGACTTATTTCCCTTGGCATGTAATTCAAGATCTGTCCATGTTATAGCAACGGCAGTGCTTCATCTTTTCCTGGGGCCGACTTCAGACATTTCCTTACATTGTCTCCTCTTTGCTGTCGTGTTCTTCAGGTTCCCTGCCTGAGAGATCTTCCCCAGAGAGTCTTTCCTGGATGTAGCATAGTGAGCAGGTGCTCGAGACTCCCGGGTTCGAATCCAGGCTATGCTACTCCCTAGGTGTGAGGCCCCAAGAAACGTATCTAAACGTATCTGCCTTAGTTTTCCCTTCTGTAAAATGGGGGTAAGACTAGTGTGCCCCATGTTGTTGTGAATCTCTGACTCCATCATATACCTTTTCTTCATGGCACTTACCACAGTTATCGTTTTGTATTTGTTTGTGCAATTTTTTAACAAAGGCCTGCACCCCACCCCCTGCCCCAGTAAATGAGAAACAAGGGTTATGCTGTTTCATAGTCACCCTACATTCCCCAGACCTAGGGAAATGCCTGGCAGATGGCAAGTGCCCAACAAATACCCGTTGTTTCCTTCTTACGAATAAAAATAATTATAACTGAAAATTATTGAGTGTCAAGCATCGAACTATGCTTGGTATTTATTGTCCCATTCAATATTAAGATATACTTTAAGTTCCCATTACTGTGTTTTATATGCATATATATAATGTATGTTGTATATAATATATATTATATAATACATATATATGATATATCCACTGTATATAGACGGCATATATTTCAACAAGAATACTTCATATATTAGTATCATATATATTCATATATATTATAATATCTAAATATATTATTATCATACTATCCATACCTATCTTGTTTTAAAAATGAAGAAATTGAGATTTAGCAAAGTTAAGTAACTATCATAATGTGCCTAAACTAGGACTTGACCTCTGACTCCAGCATCCTTTCTCCACCCATATACCATACAGAAAAGATACCTTGGAGGTGTGCATATATTTTTCAGGTCTTATCAACTTCATAATTTATGCATTTAAATGTTAGGCTATTTTGCAGGACATGGACATGTAAGTATTTGGACCACATAAGTAGTGTGGAGAGAACTTTAGATGAAATTTTAAATGTGGCCCACCCTCTCTATCAGAATGACTATGGTCTCTGGATTTTACAGTGGTCCAGGACCAAGCATTGCACAGCTCGCTTGGAAACATTTCACCATGGAAAAGGAGATTCAGACTCACCATTTTCATTGCAATGGTGCATGTCCAGCCTGCTGACTCCCTCCATCCAGATGTCCTCACCCGGGGAAGAGTCAACATCACCAAAGATATTTCCATGCAGCCAGGATTCAGAGGCACCGAGGTTGAAGAGAGAAGAGAAAGGACGGCGGATTCTCTTTTTCTTTCTAAATATTCTGGAGAGAAATGAAAGCAGCCTGATGGATAGTGAAGAACAGTCCCCCCAGGTTCAAAACAGAGAATTTAGTGAAAGTGATTTGAAGAACAGAGCGTATCTCTACAATCCAGGTCCACGAAGCGCATTGTATGTGTTCCCTTTATTAATTCCACAGAAGTTCCTTGCGTTTCTGTGTGAGCCAGGTGCTTAGATCAAAGTCAAAGATGCCAAGATAAATGACAAGACCTTGGGCACAGTTTGCAATCCAGTGTGGGAGGAAAACCAGAGCAATGCAGATTATAGCTAATGCTTTCAGAGAGCTCACTCCATGCCAGGTGTCTTTCTTAGTGGTTTACATATAAAGACTCACACCACCCGCAGAATGGCCCTATGAGGTCTGTACCACGGTTGCCCCATTTTTCAAATCAAGAAACTGAGGCACCAAGTGGCTGAGTAACTTGTCTGAGGTCATAGCTGAGGTGCAAACCCGGGCAGTCTGGCTCCATAGTCTCTGCTCTGCTACTGTGCTGCGGAGGGGATGTGCTCTGACGGAATTAACCAGGGGCTCTGTGTTAAGGGCACCAGATGTAAGAGCACAGAAGGGCATTGCCCATCGGCAGTTAAGGGAGGCTTCGTGAGATAGGAGAGCTCTGAGCTGCATAGGATGGTCTGACCTTTTCACTGACGCACAGGAAGGTCCCATATTGGATCATGCTAGGAAATGAGGCCATAAGGGTAACAAGAAGGCCAATAATGAAAAAACTTGACCGTTACATGAAGGAGCTGGAATCTGATGTTCGAGCCAAGGGAGATCACTGAAGTACGTCAAGGGGCAGGGGTGGTGGTGACGTGATTGTTTGCATGTCTGAAAGATTTTGACTGCTCACACGTCCACAGTCCCAGCAATCCATCTTCTACCTAAACCACCCACCTGGTCATTGGTGTTACCTTGCTAAGGAGAACTCTGACAAATTGTCCATGGTTCCTCCTATCTACAAAATGAACGGCAGGCTTCTTAGCCTGGCATGTGACCCCCTCCACCCAGGCCCTGCTTCTGTGCCCAGTCTTCTCTCTTACAGACCAGCCCTTTTCACCCTCAGTTCTATTTCTGCCAAACTACTTGCCATTCCCCAAATTGTATCAGGGTCTCTCAGAACTCTCTCTGGAAGCCCCCTTTCCCACTTCTATTTTAACTAACGTCCTGCTCTCTCAAGACTCACACCAATCATCACCATGTCTAGGAAGCTTGTGTTAACCTGTTCCCCCAAGTGAAATGGGCTCCTTCCTGTTCCCCTCACTTCACCCTCTTCAGACGTGTACCCCGGTACCTACACCCCTTCACTGCTTCTGTTTGTTTCCATGTTGGCTATACCTGCCCCTTATTAGCCTTTGTGTCTCCACAGTCTGGAGCAGTAATAGGCTGCGTATAAATGAATGCTGAATGAACAAATGAATGAATAATTGATGGATGGATTGGACTTTTGATATTTCTATGTAATATTTTCTACTTACCTAACTGAGTTCTCCTTGTACATCACACTGGTCTGGGATGGGCTCAGGGTTATGTTGCCATCTCTGTCACAGAGGAAACTGTCCTCTGTCCAAATGTAGTAGCCATTGGTGAGGAGTCTGGGACTTCGGCGGCAGGGAAGGTAGGAGCCTGTCAGGGGGTCTACGGAGCAGCAGTCAAAGGGACTGTCACCATTCAGGAAATCACAGGCAAAACTGAAGCGGGAGGAAGGATAGATACCATGAAGTGTTACTTGGCCACAAAAAAGAATGAAATCCTACCTTTTGCGACAGCATGGATGGGCCTAGAAGGTGTTACACTAAGTGAAACGAGTCAGCCAGAGAAAGACAAAAACCATGATTTCACTTATATGTGGAACCTAAAGAACAAAATAAACGAACAAACAAAGTAGAAACACACAGATGATACAGATACAGATACAGATACAGATACAGATACAGATACAGATGATACAGATACAGGCTGATGGTTGCCAGAGGGGAGGGGGCTGGGAACTGGTTGGAAAATGTGAATGGATTGAGAAGGAAAGTCCTTTAAATCTCTGTACAGAACATCCAGTCACACAAATCCACATTTCTCGTTACTGTGAAGGAAAACACCTCTTTACATCCATGGTTACCAATTACTTCTGCAACCCTGAGAATGTCACTCTCAATCTTCTGGGCTTCATCTCCTCCCCTGTGAGAGCACGAACCACGGGACGTTTAGTGCTTCTTTCTGTTTGAAACACTTCGACGACTCTACTATGGCTCATAAGCTTCTTCACCATGCAATGCACCACACCCTCATGCTCTATTGAATTTCTGATATATTTTAAAATTTAAAAACCTATTCATAAGTAATGAATGCACTAAAGTTAGTAATAGCATTTTAAATGGATATTATTTAGTATTGAAAACTTTTTATGGGCCTGGCTCATACTTCATTCTTTACCTACTTTAGACAAACCTCCCTAAAAGCTGAGTATTATTATCTTCGCTATGCAGCAGGGGGAAAAATGACATGCAGAAGGGCAAGTGACAGATATTTTGTAAAGCTAGTACGTGGCAGAGCAAGGATCTGAATGCTGGGCTATCTGACTTTAAAGCACGTGCTCTTTCCACAAGGCCTGCTTGTCCATACTTGGCTGATTCACTGACAGTAGTAGGGGGCCTAGGATTTACAAAAAACAGGTTCTAACACCTGTATGGTCCCTTTATACCATCGGCACATTTCACAAAATGCTAGAGGAAACTGATGTTTGCACGGGGAATAACAGACAGACAGATATGGGCAGGGGGAGGGAAGGGAGGAAAAGAGAGTGCATTGCAGAAATGGCATGAAATAGCCAACTCCACGTGTTTGCGTGGAACATGACATTGGCCAGCATGTGCACGGGTGGAGAATCCTGGTGCTCTTGTAAAGAGAGATAGAAAAAGCATATTTAAGAGAATGTAAATCAGAGAAAACGTGACTGTACCTCAGGATACAGTAGTTCCTCCGCTCACCAAACAAACAAGTCATATTTGCCTACACATTCACACACCCCTCCAAAAAAATCCGTTGTTAGATTAGACAAGTCTTCATTTTCTATGTGCACAAGACTGAAAATAGTGTACCCATACCCAGCTGGGTGATACCTAAAATTAATGCTTTTAAACCAAGAATACAACAAAATAATGCATGCAGGAAGAGAACTGATTGATTTTTCTTGTAAAAAGCCCCGTGGAATACCTTGTGAAAATGCACGTGGGAGACAGCTCTCCAGCATGTTCTTTCTTGGACCCGGAGGCACCTGCGTAAGGAAATGAGAGGGAAGTGGGCACTGATCGCCCCTCGCCAGCCCGCCCGATGCAGCAGTGGCATTGTGACCCGGGACGTGGGCCCAGCCCAGGTCCCGGCCTCAGCAGAGGCTCCCCTGGTGCAGCCGTCCGGCGGATCGGTACTGACACAACTTGTCACCGGGCCTCTGTGGGAAGCCAGGAACATTCTAGGGGCTTCTGTCGTCGGTGTCTTATCCTGCTCAACACTCCTTTAGAGGCTCCTTAGTGCAGGATGAGGCAATAATAAGTCATTAGCATCAGGCCCCCTCGTGAAAAGGAGGAAGAGAGCGTGTGGCGTGAAGCCGTAGGAACCGAAGTCAGTTGCCCGGTGCGCCGCTGACTTCAGCTTATTCAGAGATTTGAGGAACCCAGTCATCTGCTCGGGAGCTCTCCCATTAGTGCACTTTAAGGCACTTTGATTTTAAAGTAATGAGCAAGAGGCGTTAGTGGAGGGGAAAAAATAAAGTTTTGTTTCACATAAATGATTTTCTAATGTAGGAAGGCTGCGAGTATTCTTAATTAAGAAACAAAAGCATCCATTCATTCATTCCAGTGTCACCAAAAGCCTGGCAACAGATTTCAACTGGGGGTGTTGTAGTTCATTGGTATCCTAAACTCTGGAGCAGAATTTTGTATTACATAGGAAGGCCGTGAATACTTCCATTAGACAGGCTCGGTGGAGCTCGATTCCGTTACTGGCAGCTGATAGCTAAGCAAAGAGAGGAATTTCGGCGTTCGGCGTGGGCTGGCTGACTTATGGAAAGATGTGGGCATGTGCGCAGTGAAGCGCCACTCAGCCCCCGGAGAAGGCGAATACTGCCACCTGCGACAACATGGAAGGCCTTGAGAATATCACGCTGACATAAGTCAGTCAGAAAGAGCTGAGAATCATATGATTTCACTCATGCATGGGACATAAAACTGAAACTCGTGGGCACAGACAGTAACGTGGTGGTTGCCAGAGGGAAGGAGGTGGAGGGAGAGGAGGGAGCCTAAGATATGGTGACAGAAGATGGTTGGCTTTGGGTGGTGGGCACACAGTGCAGTATACAGATCATAGAAATCTACACTTGAAACCTGTATGATCCTATTAACCAAGGTCACCCCCATAAAGTTAATAAAAATTGAAAGAAAAAAAAGAAAATAGTAGGTGTGTGAGGGAGGGTTAGAAGCAGGGTTTGGGGAGAAAAATAACAAGAGGAAGGAAGAAACTTGAAACCACTACCGTTTTAACAAGTTACACCCTTGTTTTCTGCAAGTAGCTATCAAAATCATTCAGTATTTTTTAAATAGAAAAACAGTTTTACATCTTAATAGTGGCTGATAAACAATCTCCTTTCCCATTTATGCACAGGCATCTAAAAAAAAAAACGGTGATTTTTTTTTTTTTTCTACTAAAAGGAAAAATATCACATTTCTCTCAAGGAAAGAGATGAAGTCACAATCATTGCCAAAGTGAACACTGGCATTTAAGAAGCACGAGCTACTGACAGATGGTTAATGGTATGAGTATCAGCAAAATCAAAGCAAGGAAATTGCTAAAAGAAGTCTAATCATTCAAAAGATAATTGCGTAGAGCAATTCGCCCACATTTACTTGCCACTGGTGTTGACATCAGTTGAGATATTTGGTACATCTTGGGAAGGCTGCTTGTTCAGACTTCACAGATTTTCTGTAAAAGACGTCTAAAAAAAAGGTGGATTATATATTAAAAATAGAAAAGTGATGCCAAAACAGATGGCATCTACTAATTGCACTAGTCGGATCTGTATACTGAAATAAGGCAGGGATGTTGGAAGGGAGGCAGGAGAGTGGACTGCAGGACCCCCAAGGCTGTGCCTGCCTCTACGCTTGGGTTTGACATTCTCCATTGTCTTGCTCAGCGCATCTGAATAATCTTTTTCTGTAAATAAGATCAACATTTTCTTTGGGAAACCTAGACTTGCAAAGATTGGCTTGTCATCAAAATAAAATAATAAAAATGAGTTATGTGATTAAGAAAATGGGGGACATCTATAATAGTGTCAACAATAAATGAAAAGAAAAGAAACCTGAAAAGAAGTTTGGTTCTAGAGCCCTGTAAAATAAACTTATTTATGTTGCCATCATCCAAAACACGTCCACCTCATTATCAAATTTCAGATAATGCTTGGCGTTGGCGTCTGCCTCTGGTCCAACGCCTTGAGCCACAGACAGGCAGTCACAGGGAGGGCTAGTGGTCTTTCGCACTTGTTTTCAGCCTGAACATTCCTGAGCAGCATGAGCAGAACTGCACTAAAAATAGACCACCACTGGGCAGATTTCAGAACTCAGTTTTCTCGGGCATGTTATGTACATTCTCAATTACAAATTAAACACATACCCAAGTGTGTAAAATATGCAAACTATGACCATTTACCACTCACCACAGAGCCCTACCTTCTGTTAACTATTAAACTTTGTAGATATCACTATCCTCACAGCTTTATAAGGCAGGACTGAAGGCTTTTCTGATTTATCATCTCTATACATGTTTTTAAAATGTGATAACTAGTAATGCATTGTTTTTATACCCGTGACACATGAAACTAACCCAGGATAATTATGTAGCTCTAAATTGATTCTTCCAATAAATGATATATAAAACCTATTTGGAAATATGGACCCTAGCTTATATAGACCTTTAGATAAGTCATGAGAACTTTCTGGCACTCCTTGAATGATCTCTAAATCAAAGCACACATTCATGGACTTTTTTTTTCCTGGAATATAAAATAGTTTTGTTTCACTATAATATAATAGTGTGTCACTTGTCCTTTGATTTTTGATCAATATAATATGAATATGTCCAGCCAGAATTACCCTATGCTAGTTTTCCCCAAGCATTAAGTTTAATTTGAAGCTAACATGCCCTGCAGCAGGAAGTGAGGTCTTAGGGCTGTATCCTACAAGTACCTGTAACAGGCTACAGGCAGTACCTAGCAGTTGAGGAAGGATTAGTCACACAGAAAAAGACTTCAATTAGCAGCCCTAAAACTTTTCAAGAAACAGATACTATCTACCAGTCCCATCAAAGCAACAAATCTGGAAAAAAAATTTGCCCAGGCACGTTCTTTCCAAAGGGAGTTCCCAGTCTNTCAAAGCAACAAATCTGGAAAAATAATTTGCCCAGGCACGTTCTTTCCAAAGGGAGTTCCCAGTCTTTCCTTCCAATTGATAGACAATAAAATAGTTACTGAAATACGAAGCTTCCTGAGTCTGCCAGTCAGCGGAGAAATCCAGGACCTGGCTGTTCTTCAGCTGAAAATAATGTCAGAACGTCAACAGGCGCAGGCGTCTCCTGATAAAGGGACATCTCTCCTTCCCCTCCCCGGCGAGGCCCACGCACATCGCTGTGTCTGGCTGGCAGAGCTTTGTCTTCAGCAGCCTCTTGTGTCCTTGGTTGTTTCCTAGAACAGAAGAGCACGTCGTTCTTGGGCAAGTCAGCCTTCAAACCGCTCTTGTTTCCTTTCAAAAACAGCCTGCGAAACCAGAGGCTGAGTGGCAGAATGAGGTCACACTTCCTGTTGGGCTCACATCGGTGACAGTCATGCTGAGGACTCAAGACGGGCTCCTGGCCCAGCAGCGGGGGGCGTGCAGTCCGCGAGTCCAGCCAGCTGGCCGCAGGGGACGCTTTCTGGGCTCAGGCCGCACCCCTACCTGCGGGAGCACAAGAAAACTCAGAGGAGCCCCGCTTCCTGCGGATCATCTTCTGGCCATTTCACTATGAATCGCGCATAGCAGTGCTTTGTTCAGGTCACTTAGATGTATTGGTGATAATGCACTGATGCTATTAAATTCAGGATGCTGTTGAATTCCAGGAGCTTGGTCTTGTGACAATGTCAGCACCAGGAATATGTCCATCCAGCAATCATTGCGCTTTACAGGAAACTATCTACGGGTGGCAGTTTACATTCTATATTTATATTTTATTTGAGCTCAAAGAATTTGATCTTGGTGGGTCTCTACAGATCTCTGCTGTTGGAAGTGATCAAAGAAATATACATTCCAGCAACCTGAGGTGCATCGGGTCATGGAAAGAGCGTGGGTTTGGGAGGTACTGTGCTCCATAGATTTGTGACTTAACCGATTTGAGCTGCAACTTTCTCAATGATAAATGTGATGACGTGTATTTCAATGGATGGATTAGAGAAGGAAATGAGAGGAAAGGAGTGAGAAATAAGGGAGTCCTCACCCTGGCTGGCGTCACTGAGCGGTTAGAGCATCAGCCTGTGGACCGAAGGGCCTAGGGTTCGATTCCCATCAAGGGCATGTACCTGGAGTGTGGGTTTGTTCCCTGGCCCCGGGTGGGGCATGTGCGGGAGGCAACCAATCGATGTGTATCTCTCTTATTGATTTCTCTCCCTCTCTCTCTCCCCCCTCCCTTCCACACTCTCTAAAAAAAAAAAAAAAAAAAAAAAAAAAAAAAAAAAAAAAAAATCTATGGNGTATTTCAATGGATGGATTAGAGAAGGAAATGAGAGGAAAGGAGTGAGAAATAAGGGAGTCCTCACCCTGGCTGGCGTCACTGAGCGGTTAGAGCATCAGCCTGTGGACCGAAGGGCCTAGGGTTCGATTCCCATCAAGGGCATGTACCTGGAGTGTGGGTTTGTTCCCTGGCCCCGGGTGGGGCATGTGCGGGAGGCAACCAATCGATGTGTATCTCTCTTATTGATTTCTCTCCCTCTCTCTCTCCCCCCTCCCTTCCACACTCTCTAAAAAAAAAAAAAAAAAAAAAAAAAATCAATGGAAAAAATATCCTTGGGTAAAGATAACAAGAAAAAGAAAGACGTGAGTCCTCAGCTCAGATATGCAAGATGAGTTTCTTATTTCTTTCCTGTAAACCAGCTTTGGAGGGCCCAGCTGGCCAGGCTGGCAGGAAAGTTCATCTCATTTTCCTTGGGTTCCCTTTCTCCCTAAGATGATGCCACAGGCAGGGTCTTCTCTAGAACACGCCCGAGGCAGCAGGGGCCGTTGGAGAGCCTGTCCAGCCTGGGGTAGGCAGCTTTCAAAGAAGGCCCTCGAGGATCCTTGTGTCATCTCCTCCCTTTGAGGGTGGGCTGACACTAACTTCCCCTGCATAGAGTAGGACCAAAGTAGTGGGTTGTACCCTAAAATGATTAGTCTGCAAAAGACTGCTCTCTGTCTTGCTGGGCCCTCCGCTGCCTTCCCGGTTCGCACGCTTTGACGAAGCGAGCTGCCACGTTGGGGAGGCCTGCACGGCGAGGATCTGATGGTCGTCACAAATCCCCGTGAGGAGCTGAGGCCCTCAGCTTAACACCCAGGAATCCAGCCAACAGCCCCGCGAGCGAGCCTGGAAGTGGCCCCTTCTCCAGCTGAGCCTTGAGGTGACTGCAGTCCCAGCTAACTCTTTGATCACAGCCTGGAAAGCACCCAAAAGCAGAGGAGCCGGTTTAACGTTACCAGATTTCTGACCCACTGACACTGTGTGATCATAAATGGTGTTTTAAGGCACCAAGCTTTGGGGTAACTTTTTATACAACAATAGATAACTAATAATACATAGTCCTAACAGACGTTGCCTTCTGAGTCATCTATTATTCCGGGCTTCTTGGTCAGTGTCTCTGCTGCTTTAGTGCCAGCGTTAGAACACAGGCACATTGATTCAAGCTGGCACGTCTCTGGCTGTACAAAAACAGGCAACGACGTTTTATCTATTTGATTCCAATCAGCTACCTGTGCCAATATTTATACCTACAGTCTTTTGAAACGTACCTATCTCTCTGGTGCTTTGACTACCCATTTCTTGGGTATTTGTCATATGTCATATGAATAATTCATGGGCCAAGTCTTGGAAGAATTTTCTAACTTTTTGGTTTTATAAGAACTACATCATGTTGACAACATGAATCGTGATCAGAATGACATTGGGGCTATTTTGCCTATAGGTAATATGAGAGTAGGGATAGGGATTCATATATAAATACCTGGAGAACACAATATTTTAGTTTTGAGTGGTATACTAAGAAAAGACAAATCAGAGGAATGGCAAGCCAGGATAGATATGGATTTATAGAAACTGGTGCATCTTAGTTTCCTTGTAATGATACTGGAGTATCTCATGTTCAGAGTGACAGAAGAATGAAATCTCTAGTGGTTTCCTTTTGATGTTTAGAATCTGCAATTTCCACACAGATTCATTGCAGTACTTTTATTATTTGCCTTTAGAACTGATTTTCTTATCAACGATGATCTCAAACTTTCTTTGTTGCTAATGTGTCTTTTTAGGATTGATACAGCATTTCTTGCAACTGGAATTCCTGTCTCTCAAAAATGCTCCAGATATGACTTTCCTGTTTGCTCAGGGCTTATATTTGAATTGCAGTGAGAATAACTTTTTTAGCAGAGAGAGAAAGAACGAGAGAGAGAGAGAGACAGAGACAGAGAGACAGAGAGAGAGATGGAGAAAGACATACGGAGAGACGAGGGTGGGGCAGAGAAGGAGAATCCAGAGAGACTGATTAGCTAGTGAGAACCCTATAATAAAGTCTAAATAAAAGTTACATTCTTGGTGACCAGAACAGTGTCTTAGTCATCTCTGTAATCCTTAGGAGCAAATACAGGGCAAAGGAAGTCCTCAGAAATGTGTGTTTCCATGGCATCAGTAAAAAGAGAAACTGGGACTACCCTCACAGATAACAATGATTAGATGCATGGATTCCTGTGTAAGGCGAGAAAGGAATGTTGGGAAACAACTTTCATTTGCATATCAATTATAATTTTAAAATATGTAAGGCTTGTTTCTATCTAATTTAATCCTCAAAACAACTCTTCGAAGTGGATTTAAAATTCCCACTTACTACCCTGGCCAGCGTGGTTCAGTTGGTTGGGCCTCGTCTGATGTACCAAAAGGTTGCTGGTTCAATTCCTGGTCAGGGCACATGCTGGGGTTTTGGGCTTGATCCCCAGTAGGGGGCATGCAGTAGGCAGCCAATTAATGTTTCCCTCTTGCATCAATGTTTCTCTCTTTCTTCCTCTCTCTCTAAAAATATATTAATTTTTTTTTTTTTTTTAAAAGCACACATTGCTAGCTCTCAGTTTGGGAGGTGCCAGCAGGGCTGTGACCTTACTGGAGTTGCTGGGGGCAATGTGTAAAAATTCCCATTTTCCTGAGGAAAGGAGAATCAGAGTAGTGTCTATCCCCCGAACACTCTGGCAATAGTTTCAGGTCTGATTTACAACTCCTGGTCCTAGTCCAAATCGCTAGCTCTAATATGCTTTCTTATTTTAAGTTATTATTAAAAAACCACAGCAAGAAGCAAGTTACTGTCTTGATTCCTTTCAAATTTATAGTCCCTTTTGATCTTCATGACACCTATTGTTCAAAAAATAAAAGAGAGAGAAAGAAATGATGAAAACCAAAGGATGTTTACCCCCGGTCTCGTGAAACTGGCTCTGTTGTGCAAAAATACAAAAGAGGAATTAATCTAATACCTGACCACAAGGTTGTGTTGCCTCAATGTTTTCTACTAGGGCAAAACCATGGACTGTGGCAATGCCTGTGCTACCACACTCTGCTTCTGGCCAGGCCTCTTCCCTCCCCCACAGGGGCAATTGTTTCATCCGAATGTCAGGCAGCTCCCTTGGAGATGCTGGTATTGTTTCCTGGCACTGACCAAGAGGGCGCACATTTAGTTAGACAAATTGCAAGGGACCAGTTAGAGCACGTATTCTGACCCTGCTCACCCTCCATGCTACTTATACTTTTGATTTTTGATACTTATACTGTATCAGAATGACCTATTGGTATGTCAGTCTCCTTGACCACACTGCTAAGTGCTTAAGTCAGGAATTAAGCTTATTCATGGTTATGCTCCTCGGCCTAAGCACTGTACTTGGCACAGTGCCGATGTTCAATAAATGCCTGTGGGAAAGGAACAGAAGTAGAATGATTTTTTTGTTTTGTTTTGTTTTGTTAGAGCTTGAACCAAAACCATAAAGAACTATAGGGCAATAATAATTTTGGAGTCTGCATAGAATTCTTAATTAAGTGTATTCATCCTTCAAAACATACTCAAAGGCCACTTCCTTTATGCGGTCTTCCTTGATTTGCTGAGTCAGAATGAGCACACTCCTACAGTGCAGTATCTCTGTTTCACGTGGTAAATAGTAGCTTTCTCTTGTACTTGGCTGTTTCTGTGCCCACCTCCCCATCATGGCAAGTCACCTTAGAATTGGATTCCTACTATGATTTTTCCTCCTGTTCTCTTCTCATTGACCCTTTTCTAGCATAAGACGTTCAAAATGTTGAGTATTTGGTTACTGTTAACTTGTATGCCTGCTATGTTCTGTTTCCACTCTCTCCCCTGGTTTTACCAACCCCCTGCAACGTGTTTCTGCATTGTAGAGACTGCCTCTAAAGGCAGACACCTCCGGAATCAGGAGGATGGATGTTGAGTCAACCTCCTACTAGATTTGCGGCTCCTTCGGCTTGCCTC